GGCCTGGCCCTGAGCACACTCACAGGATGGTAGTTTGCGGAGATGTGGCAGGGACAGCCTCCAGCATGAGAAACACAGGTGGTGGCTGGGGTGTCACATGATGCCCTGCACCGCCAATTGGGGCTGGGGCTACAGTGTGGAGGGCCAGCGCCACGCTCCACAGCACCAGCATGAAACAGAGCATGGCTTTGGCCTGGCCACACTGTGGGCAGCAGGAGGAGGGTGAAGGGCTCCAGGTCCTGTCCCACCTGAGCCGAAGCACCACAGCTGTGGTGGCTCTAACTCCTGTGGGTGGTGGCGGAGCAAGTCTGGCCTTAGTGTGGGTTAGAGGAAGGAGGACGAGATGCCTATAGTACACCCTCGCCCTGGGCTGGGGCTCCTGCACCCCATCAGGTAGCCTCAACACAGTCCCCCTGAGCAGTGTCTCCTGGCTGCCCTGTGCCTGTGAGCATGGGCACTGGCCCCGGTGCCACTGGCCCAACCATGCAGCTCCCTGCCACCCCTGAAGGGTCCCCCTTCCCCTACTGAAGGAGCAGGAACCTCCCCTGCCCTGCCACAGCCCCAGTGCCCAGACACCTTCCCCCAGTGCTGGCAGGCACCCCCCACCACATCCATCCACTCCACACACTCCTGCCCCACGCACATGCCCCCCCAAACCCCACCCCTAGACAAGCTCTGGCTCTCCAACTCCCCATATACTTACCTGTATCCAGCTGCTGGGGCTGCCCCCACCACCCCATCTGGCTGTATCTGCCTGTGTGCGTGTGCACACACACGTGGAACCCCTGCTTCCAATCGCCTTCCCCCACTCCCCTCAGCAGCTACTTGCAGGCTGGAAGGCTGCCAGCCAGCAAAGAGAAACCTACGTTTTCCCACAGATTTCTTCTTTAAAGAGGAAAATCTACATTTTTCTCCTTCAGATGAGAAAATCCGCATTTTTCCACAGCAAACAGAAAACCTGGATCCCTGGTTATGACTCCTCAGTGGTACTTGAGAGCCAAAATTTAAAGAGTTACATCTTAAGGAAGACAAATGCTACATAGGATGCCTATACATGAGCAGGCTCGGTTAATCAAATCTGCTGGAGTGTAGCAATTTACTGCACTCCAGCAGACTTCCGTGTCTTTTGTTATCAGCAACCATACACTGCAGAATGGTGGCGGGGCACTTTACCTAAAGCTCATTTGACGAGGTTTAGATAAAGTGCCCCTGCCACCATTTTGAGGCACAGGGACACTGATACATGAAACACTCTGGGCACTTTAATTAGAGCAGCTCTCAGAGTCACTCTAATTAAAGCACCCCCCCTCCACTCCTGAAGCACATACATAAACACCCATAAACTTTAGCCTAGAAGCCTACAGAAGAAGCAAAAAGATAATAATACTTTCATCTAAAATGTGCCTGACTTCATTTGCTTTGGCATTATGAATAAAACAGATCCTGAATGTGTCACCTGGAGAAGTAAAGGAAAAAGAAATCAAGACCCAATTCTCATGAAAAACCTGGAAATGTTTTCACAGAAGCAGCAATTTGGCTTACAGATCATTGAGGATCCTGGTTTTCTCTGATTAAAAAAAAAAAAAAAAAAAATAAAAATTT